GTCTCACTGTCTCTCCCCACCCTAGCGTTAAAATCTCCCAAAATCAGTAGTTTGTCAGTTCGTGGAACATTGAGCGCTTGGCCCAGGCTTACATAAAAGTTAGTTTTTGACATATATGTTCATAGTCGGTGCATAGACGCTCAATAGTGTAAGGTGACATTTACTGCTGAGCGGGAGTCGTAACTTCATCAGCCGGTTAGATATACCCTCTGGAAAGGACTCAAGTCGAAGCCCATTTAGAATTGCGAAGGCAACACCAGCTTGATGTGAGACCCCACCAGACCAATAGAAGGTGTAGTTCTGCTCTGTGAGATTACCATGACCAATAAGTCTGGTTTCTGAGAGTGCAGCTATATCAATGCCATAACGAGCCAGTTCCCGATCGACGAGAGCTGTCTTTCGTTCGGGGTAACCTGAATCAGTTCTATCCAGAAGTGTGCGAGCATTCCAGCAACAAATAACCAGTTTCACTGAGGCAGATTTAGTTCCTGGACCGCTTATTGGAGTCCCGCCAGCCGCGGTAAGCTGGCCAGGATGGATTCGAACGGGCTTTGGTTACCCCACCTTTTCTAGGGGCCTCCCCAGTTGGGGCGCGCAGTGCACACCCTGAAGAGGGCTGTGCGGTCGTCCAGGCAGGACCTCACTCAGCTGCCGTTCGTAGTCAACTGAGTGCGGCCATCACACCTGGACCGCCTGTGTGCAGGTTTCCAGCTAACAGCTACCAGCCCCTCAGACCTGCTGCCTTCGTTGTCTGCCCATCGCCACAGGGCCTCTGCTGCAGATGACTTGGCAAAGATTTGCCCTCCCTACCGGTTGCCAGCCAATAGGGGATCGTCTCGGCATTCCCAGTGTAGTCTGGGTGGAACCGATACGTGGCACTGCAGCTGCAGGAGTCCAGAAAGCAGAATTTACTTCCCTGCCGCCCAGAGGGCTATATATATATATATATATATATATATATATATATATTATATATATATTTACATATATATTTATATATATATATTTATATATATATATAAATATATATATATATATATATATATATATATATATATATATAGGCGGGCGGGCAGCAACAACATGCGTACGAATACGGTATGCCTTATTAGTAACTCCTTCAAGGTTTCAGACCTTGACTTTGCAATTCTATCTGAGTTCTTGGAAACCATAGTGGTGGCTCTGGATGCATTTAGTAGCAAAGCAAAACCCTTGGGTCTAGAAGTCTCCTGGACCAAGACCAAGATCCAGGACTTTGGGGACTTGCCATTTGGTCGGTACGTGTTTGCGGCGAGGACATTGAAGTCACAGAGATCTTTATTAGTGTAGTTCAATCTGTCAGACCAAGAAGTCAGCAGACAGATTGGCCTGGCAGCAGGGGTCATGAACTCTCTCAACAAGAGTATTTGGAGATGCCGGTACCTGTACAGAAGGACCAAGCTACAGGTTTTTAAGGCCCTGATAATGCCAGTTTTGCTATACGGTAGTGATACCTGGACATTATCCTGTGCCTTGGAGTCTCGCCTTGATGCCTTCTGTAATAGGTCTTTGCTCCGGATCATGGGGTACTGTTGGCGGGACCATGTGTCCAACCAATGTTTGCTTCATGAGACTGGCACAGAACCTGTTCCCTGCACAATCCGTGATTGCCAACTCAGGCTATACGGCCACCTGGCAGGATGATCCTGTCCACCAGGTTGTCTCCACAAGAGACAACCCTGGGTGGAGGATGTTTGTGGGACGACCTAGGAGGTTGTGGCTTGGACAGATCGATCAAACCTGTCATGAGGAGCTCGAGATGTGCCGAGTCCCTGCCTGGTGGCTTGCCATGAGGGACCCCAAAAGGTGAAAACAAAGGATGGATATAGCTATGCGACCCCGTCAGCATTAGCCCCCTGATGATGATGATATATATATATATATATATATATATATATATATATATATTTATTTATTTATATGTATATATATTTTTTTTGTATATATAGATATAGATATAATTATATGTATATATATATATATATATATATATATATATATATATGAGAGAGAGAGAGAGAGAGAGAGATGGATAGATATGTATTAAATTTATATATATATATATATATATATATATATATATATATATATTTATATGTATATATGTGTATGTGTGTGTGTGTGTGGGATATGTATAGTATAATATTTAAAAAATTCTACGTCTATGATATGATATTTTAAGAAATATCGTTTCAGTAATATGGGAAAACATGAACATTTTTTCTAGATCATCGTGCTCTAACAACAGAAATATGATATTGAAAATTTACACTACTACTATATATACCAACAATATAGAGTTTAAGCTCTAATATTGATACGCTTTCATATTAATAGGGCCATGGCTAAGAAGAGCAAGGTTCAGGTTTATCTTTCTTATGCCTGCGCTTTTATGCAATATGACATGTAAGGCAACAATAGTTACTGTTTTTCTTATATCATATATGCTTTAATCTTGGTCACATTCAGAGCTCCTTAAGTGTTACATGACGAATAATATACAGGGAAGTATCTCATGTTTTATTTACAGAATATGTTCGAATGGTTAGAAGAATATTACAAAAATTTGTATTAGGTTCTACATAATAATTTTCTTATTATGTATGTGTAGAGAGGCCTAGGGCGAGGTAATTGAGAGAGCCCTAGGCCCTGAGCAGACAGGAGAATCAAACTCGCTGCAGAGAAGATGATGAAGTGTGTGTCTATTTTTGGCGAGAAATGTAGTATAAATACAAAAGGGTCAAAGTAACAGTGCTGGGTCGTTTGTGGCTGAGTGCGCTGATTGGCCGACGGCTGCATCCTTATCTTCCGCGTCGCGGCGAATCAGCGCTGCGGACCTCGGCATGCTTACCTATCGGCTGACTCGTTGTAAGGGAAATTATGCTGAGCGAGTTGCGCCGGTGCTGAGTGAGGCAATTACGCAGAGCGAGACAGCGCCGTTGCCGAGGTGATTGTGGCGTCCGCCACAATGCCTCCCCCCTAATGACGGAGACAGGACTACAGATCGAGGATCCTGCGAGGGCGAGAATGGCGTCCGGATCTCATGTAGGTTGCGTCATCGTGGTCCGTGGCATCGATGTATGCTGGCTTAAGGCGCTCCATGGTAACCCAGTCAGTTCGTCGTTCGATTTGCAGCTTAAACGCTCTGGGGGAGCGCTGGAGAGCTCTGAAAGGACCCTTGTAAAGGCAAGATAGTGGCTGGCGGTGGGTGTCGTCATGGGAAAGACGACTTGGTCGTATCAGTCTGGTCGGGTGGTAGGCGAAGGTGATGGCGAGAAGTGGGTGTCTGCTGGGAAGCGAATTGGAGGCCTACCGCGCGGGAGGTCTTCCGCACTCACGTGTGACCACTCAAGGTCTTCCGGTCCCGGGGCTCGCGAGACACGGGGGATTAGGTCCACTCCTGACAGGCGTGTGAGCAGGATGCTATTACTGATGACACGCTGAGCGTCACACGGCAGACGTATTAATGCTTAAGTCAGAGCGTCATGCTTAGGCGCGCTGCTGTCTTGAGATGATGCTGCACGATGTCCTTGCTCAGTAGGCCACACTGCCTTCTCTCTGTTGTCCTGTTAAGGACCTGCACTCTACTCAAAGCTTCACAACAATCCGTTTGAGGCCACCATGGTAAAGTCTCCCCTGGAAGAATCCATTATTCTATGCTCCACAACGACATACTGCGCCCCGAACCGGCCTGCATGTGTATGTATCGAGTCATGATAATATTATCTCGTCTGCGAACAGTATGGTGTGGCGGGCGAAAGGACCGGTCTGTTCGATGTTAGTTGCCTTTGGGCAGGGTTGGCTTTAGCGTTGATTGGAAGTACTTTTATTTGGGCCACGGCGCGTGAGCGTTTGGAGTCATGCCTGGTACCCAGGGGCCGGGAGATCTTACAAGCGAAGTGTGTCATCGGACACGCCACGTTAACAACGTGGGCTGTCTGTACTGTACGGCAGGGGGGAGTGGATGTGGTAGGCCGGGTAGAAGTGAGAGGGGACAGTCGCATCAAGTGTGCGGGCTCTAGGTCGCAGGTCGCTTATCTTCGGAACGTTGGACGGGCTTCAGCGTCGTTTAGCATTAGTCGTGAAAGGTTTATTTCCGCCTCTGGGATTGAAGTGTGTGCCTTGGGGGAGAGAGCTCTGAAAATGAACCGAAATCCATTTTCGCTCTAACCTTCTTATGGGGTCCACTTCCGTGGGCAGGAGGGACGTTGCAGATATCCTTATCGTCGGAAAGCGTGCTCTGGCAGAAAGACCTGTTGAGAGAGTACGTCAGTCCCCAAAGGTCGGGTGCGGTTGGGATTTTGAGGCGGTATCGGTCTCGCGCGCCTCCGTCTCAGATGGGAGGCAAAAGTGAGAGAAAGCCTTCAGACAGCTAACCCGATTCAGAGTAGATTACCACCCATATTAATCGCTGTCTTCGATACGGACTTTCGTACAGTGGCTCTGAGACGAACGGCTGGTTGGTGAGGAGTAAATAGGAGTCTAGACCTAGGTGGCGTATAACACCACCTGCCTTGGGTAAATATTAAACTCGAGTTTCTGCCACGGAAGAGAGGCTGGTTCCGCTGTATAGATCATGTGGTCGTACTTGAGCCAATAAGCGTGCTTTTATTGAGATGACCTTTCGTAGCTCTGCATAATATGTCGCTCCACTCGTCGCGAGAGCCGAAAGAGATGAAGAGGCGGGCTAGCCACAAATGGATAGGGAGAAAGGGTAGACAGAAGCGAGAGATGAGGGAGCGGTATGGAGAAAATAAGGAATCTCGACGTATGTGTGAGGAGGGAAGAGTGACATAGGAGGTGTCATGAGAAGCGGATTGAATGTGTCCGGGAAGGGTGGCAAACACAGAGAGGTTGAAGAAGTGGAAATGGCCGATAGGAAAGGGGCAGAGGGAGGAGGGTGAAGGAGTAAACGGAGCCGAGAGAGACGCCCCGGGGAGACCCCATTGATGAGGCACGTA